CGCTATGTGAAATTCAATGGAAACGTCAGCTCAACTCACATCATTGTGGGAAAATTCTACTACCAGTCCTTCATCACCTTAGACGAAATTGGGTGAATACATCTCATTACGAAGCAGGAGCTGATGAGAAAACAAAATAAGATGAACCGATGGAAAAACCAAGCAAAGCCCTTCTCATATGAATTTCAGACCAAATCACACACCGTCTTTTATCTTTTATTGTCGATTTAGATGCTGATTTGTTCTCATTAAAAAAGATGACACCTTGCGTCTGATTGCGAAAAAACAGCTAATGAATAAATAACGATTGAGTTATTGGCTTACATTTTAATGTTATATATTTCATTTGAATGAACAAGGAAATGATGCTCCAGGTGCAACTTCGCGATGTCCCTTGTATTTTAAGTTACTATAGCCCCCGGAAGAGATATTGCCCTCCATACAGAGATTTCATTTATAGTTTGTATGAATAATTACCATACTATCAGTAGATAAAATATATGAGATGTATCCATCCTACCTCGATTATGTTGAATTTTCCCACAATGGTATCAGTAGAAATGGCGTTTCTATTAAATTTGGTATAGTCATGCTTTCCCAAAATTTATTCCCAACTAGGGTGGACTGCATTTTCGACCAAGTCTATGTCTCATTGGCATCCACCAGCAAGACAGGAACAATGACAATGCAGCGTATAATCTCGGCACGCCAACGTATGTGACACACTGCCACGAGTGCCTTGGGTCATAGGCCAGGCATTTTCTAAAGTCATATTATGTGGTGGGATTGTCGATAAAGTAAATTTATATTTGCTTCAACTACCAGTACCTTTATCGTCCTTAACAAACTAGACTGAGTACATATAATATATATTATATATATTAGTCTCGAAAGCCTACTTATAAACGAATAATAAGTAACGTCGTCGATTTATATAGAAAATGCAACATTAATTCATCGAAAATCCCACCACAGAATAGAAAGTGAGGAAGTGCCTGGCCACATCTGCTCTATGGCCGAAAGGCACTGGTTGCAATGTGGCGTAGTGGTCAACATGTCGAGATTATACGATGCATTGTCATGGTTCGAGTCCCGCTGGAAAGGGCGAGGCCGAAACTGCAGTACGTCATGGATGAGATTAACTTTTTGGTGAGCAAAACTATGTGAAATTCAATGGAAAAGTAATGTCTACTCATATTCAACTACCAGTCCCACTATCACCCTAAATGAAATCGAATGAATACATCTCGCATATTTTCATTAAAGATTTTTTAATTAATCTAGTGAGTTCTGAGTCGAAAGGGGAATTAAGCATACATGAATACAATTTTGCTATTCAGTATTCCTTTGATTTACACTTGTTGTTATAATTACCATTTCGAGTGAAATTGTATGAAGAAGAGATTATTAAGATTGCTTCCACATCAGAATACTACAGCGAATTACCCCTGACCAGCTGCTGTTTGACTTTACTGGAATGTTCTGGTCAAGGCTGTCACTGGTGAAAATCTCCTTCGACTCCTGTGAAAGTGTGATAAGCTCTCGTCTGTCATATGTAAAACTTATACAAACAAAAGTTGGGTTTCGAGGAATCTTTTGTTTCATAATTGTTGAGCTTACTTCCATTTCGAGTGGAAGTGTTGGGTGAAGAGATTCGAAGGTCGGTTCCGCCAGAAGACGACGGCGGATTCCTCTTGCCCATCTGTCGATTGGCTTTACTGGAACATTTATGCTGACACTGTTTCCGAGGCAATCTCCTTCGATTCCGGTGAAAAGGTGCTAAGCTTTTGTCCTTCATA